TACAAAGGCAAAATCTGATAAACCCTTATAAGATAAACAAGGCAATGTACTTACCAACGTTGAGCAACAAATCAAGGCCTTGGTGACATGGTTGAAAATGAAGAATGAAGAAGATGAAGAAAAAGAAGGTGTTCAACAAAATCCACCTTTTCGAAATATCAACATTGAGCCGCCAACAAGAGCTGAAGTATCGTCTGCAATAAACAAGCTCAAGAACAACAAAACGGTTGAAAATGATAACATTAACGCTGAAATTCTTAAATGCGACGTAAATCTCTCAGTTGACATCTGGTTGCCAATTATGAAAAAAATTTGGAAAGAAGAAAATATGCTGGAGAGCTGGAATCAGAGCCTTCTGGTTCAAATTCCTAAAAAGGTGATACTTCAGACTACAATAACTTTAGAGAGATTAGCCTGCTACCTTTACCTGACAAAGTGTTCACAACAATTATCCTCGAGGGAATCTCTACAGCTGCAGAAAAAATCTTAAAAGAAAACCAGCATGGCTTTCGCAGAAACAGATCGTGTGTAGATCTTATAAATACCCGCAGAATCATCTTTGAATAATGTAATGAGTTTCGAGCACCCATATATGCAGTTTTCTTAGACTTTAAAAAGCCTTTGACAGCCTCAACCATAAATTTATCTGGTATGTGTTACGGAAAAGAGGTATGCCTACAAAAATCATAAATCTCATTAAACAACTATACAGCAACATAAAATGTAGGGTCGTACACAAAAACGAACCATCTCAGGCATTTGTTCAGCCATAGGCTTAGCGAAATACAAAATGCTACTAAAATGCTACTCAGTGTGCAGGACTTGAAATAAATGTAAGCAAGACCAAAAGTATGTGTGGTGATTATGTCGTGGCATAAGACGCTCGTCTGCAAGCAAGCGGTGAGGAGATAGAATGTGTAACTTCTTTTACGTACTTGGGAAGTGTAGTAATAAACGGACGAGGACGTTGCAACACGCATAAAGAAGACGTAAACAATATTTGGACAACATAAGAACGAAAATGCGTATTTTCAATTCAAATGTAAAAGCAGTCCCATATTATGGCTGCGAAACATGGAAGCATTTAAAACAGATAGAAAAGAAAATACAAACATTTTTAAATAAATGCGTGCGGAAAATCCTAGAAATATGGTGACCTAACCACATATTAAATGCAGCACTTTTGTTCCAAACAAATCAGAAAACTGTTGTAACCGAAATAAAAATGCGAAAATGCAATTGGATAGGTCATACTATATGACATGGAACCCAAAAAGCAGCAGACGCCCTGGTGCACCGACTTTAACTTGGAGAAGAACAATTGAAAGAGAAATGACAGAAACGCATTACACATGGAACGATATATGCAGAGAAGCACCTAACAGTGTGCAGCTTAAGAAAATCGTTGCGGTCCTATGTCCCACAAACGGAAACGGATACTAAGAAGAAGAAACTAGGAAAGATAGCTTACTGTTAGCTTCATATGCGGTCATAGTGCTCATGTAACTATAGACAAGTTGAACTTTGCATTTTTTGTTTATATTAATGAACAATTAGATATACTACTACATTTATAATAAGAAACAAATCTCAGCATAACTGGCACGATTTGGTTAGCTTTTGCTAGACGCTCTTGTTGAATTAAAGACCAGTCTTCTGTGTTTAGTCTTTTTTGTTCTGTGCACAACAAATCACACAAACTTACTACTCCCCTTACTGAATAAAGTACATGGAGTGTGCCGCTAATTCTCGTAAATTTTTGTTGATGAATCGAAATTCACTTTAATATTTACGGCTGTCTTCGGCATTCATGATTCTGATGCATGAAAATATATGAATGACCTATGACATATAATTAACTAATATGACATTTTATGTCATAAGACATAAAACCCGTTATAAAACCATAAAGTTAAAACTTTAAACTCGAAATGCTACTAAATTTTAATACAGCGGTGTGCATTTACCCGCCTGTCGTGGTCCTTTGCGAGATAATTTTTGACTTCTTTAAATTTTGGAAGTTTCCTTTAAGAGGAACCTATATGCTGCATGATAAGCATTTTTCGTTTGCTAAAAAAAAGACTAACCACACAATCTCCCAATTTATAAAGTTTTATATATATCCAAAAAGCAAGAGTTCACGATTCAATGTCATTAGCTCACAACAGCACCATTAGCATGAGTGGCCACAAATGCAATAGCAACGACAGCTTCTGCTTCAGCATCACATACGCTTGTCAAAGTTTGACTTATAGGCTTGGAACACGTAGTACACCTACTTAATATTGCAAAACCACTAGAAACACCAAAAAAATTTGGTGACTAGAACTTTAACATCATTCTTTGCATAACAGAAGCGAAGATACGTGTGGATTCAGTTGTATATGCGCCTGTGAGAATTCGTATCCCATATGCGAAACAATTGATTTGCATATTAATTTTGGCTGCAAGTGAAGAATAAGTGGTTGTGTCAGTCGATTGCTATATAAACAAGTACCAACTGCTGTAGTGCCCTTCATCATATGTCTAAAACAACAAGTCATTTCGAAATTCGCTAGTGAATGAAGCAGCAGTTTCAATATGGAAGGTTTGGAACAGAAAATTTAACATGTCTGTTATTATTTTTTTTAATTTGTAGTTATGTGATTGCTGCCATGTAGTTATCGTCTATTTGTGGTAACCATTTAAAATGATGGATTTAATCTGTTCTATTCACATTTTAATTGTTAAAAATAAAAGTTTAACTCATTAATTAATTATAAAAGTATAATCGTGTTATGCACTGGGAGCACCTCAACGTGATGACAGCGCTGGCTTTCAATTGCTTAGTTCAAATTTAGATTGCTGGTCCCTACCGTAAGAACACTTCCACAGATTAATTGATTGATATGGATTCATATTTGTCGATCTTGGCAGTAAATAGGCTATTGAAATCCAAATTCGATGATATCTTGATAATACAGAGTTCATTGCAGAAAATAAATAATTTTATGGTTTAATATGAGACACAGTGTTGCATAAATTATCTTATATTAAATAATAATAGAACGGAATATAGAATTCCCGAATATTTGAATTCTTAAAACTTTAGACATTTTATCACTTCTTCACAGTTACTAGTTTTGAACACGTAGTAAATTAAAAATTAAGTTTGCAATCATCAATTGAAAAAAATTTTAGTTACTATATCCAATATTCCAATGTTAGGTCCCTTGACTCTGGCGTTATATGCTGACGATACGTGTATGCTATACTTAGATAAATGTGCTCTCAACATAACCAACATACTTCAAAAGCATATAAACCTCATTCTGGAGTATTTCCAGATATGGAGAATAAATATCAATAATGAAAAAACTGAGACTCTGTTTATAACGAGTAAGTGGAGACAGAATCCGTCGTGAGTGAGAGTGGGTAATATGGTGATAAACTGGGAGGATAGCGATAAATATCTCGGCATCACGTTAGACAAACGATTCACGTGGCTTAAACATGTTTAACTGAAAAGAATTAGCTATGTCAAAACTCTTCATCACCTCCAACCGCTATACAGAAATGAAAATCTCAATGCTTAGAACAGAAAACTGATATAAAACCAAATAATTCGTCCGTCACTTCTATATGGTTGTGTAGCGTTTAGCAAAGCTTTTAACACTACTATTCGCCAGCTAGAAATTGCACAAAGACTTTTCAAAGTACCATGGTACATTAGGAGGAATGATATCCTCAGGGACATCAATATTGATTCCATCAAAAAATACATAAATGATAGAGCCCTGAAGTTATTTGCGAAAGCTGACAGACTTACCAACATCGCGTTATCAAATCTCGGAATGGTTACAGGGGAGGCTCCTCGGGGAGGTATGCAGATCTGAGGTCAATTATTGTTTAGTCTGATGAAGTGATAAACTATAATCTAATCAGTTAAGAAAGAGTAAAAGTGTTTATGTGTACTGGTTCAAATATCTTCAACATAATAATATCCAACATTTCTTATTTTTTTTATTATTTATTTCACCTAAATGGCTTAAGACTGGAACGATTCTTTTAGAACCAGCTCTTCTAATTTTTGTGTTTTTTAATAATCCTTTATTGGATATGAATAGTACAATCTTAACTATTTGTTAATTTATTACTATTGCTGAATTGTACTTAATAGATATTAAGTTATAAGTGTGCGGGTTTACTGAACCAACGTTCAGGTCCCATAGCTCTCCTGAATGCTTCCATGTATATATTTATGAAAGAAGTATAGTGTTACGACGACAGCGCAACCCTGAATATAATGCAGTGGTAAAATGAGTGAAGCAGTAAAGTAGCAATAGCTGTTGTGTGGTGACAGTGGAAAACATTACATCTTCGTCGCGTGTATGAATATAATATATTATTATACATTATATATTATTAAACATTGAATACTGTTAAACATTAAATATTATTAAAATATATTACATTTATGCAGTTGAATCTCATTTCCGATATTTCATTTTCTTATATTGGCTTCTAACTCTTATACAATGCACCAGGTCATCTGCTTCCTTGCAGGTTCGAACAGGGATGTACTGGTATTTTTTAGAGGTTTATATATAAATGTGGAATTTTACACTAATACTTATTCACTGATGTTCATTGATGTTAGATCTTTCTTTTCTTCATATTTCGATTGTTTTAAAGAGCTATAGTCACAATTAATCAAATAAACGCTATGGGATGCCGATAGTGTATAAATAAACGTATTCAAATGTTTATCAAAACTTAACATATGGTAAATAGGTTTGTGTATTCAAAACTTTTTTAAAATGTGTCTAAAAACACTTTACATATAGGAACTTATAATTCATTACTTCGTTCAGAAGGTGCTTAGATACGTTTAATCTACTTTTGCAAAATCGAATGCGGTTTTCTATTAAAATAAGTGTTGCGGTCGAGAACAATTATAGTGCTTCAAATTCAAAAAAAAAACAAACAATTTTCAGTAAAATATTAACAATTATTGTATAACAACTTATCTTACATATAAACTTATGCATATACATTACAAATATCATTACTTATTTATTCTAAAATACATTATTAAATAAATCGTTGCGATGAACTTCTGGAATAAATATAATTTTTCAGAAAAGTGAGAGATTATTTTATTGCTTAAGTTAATTTGCTGGTATAAAAACTCTCTTGAACGCGCATTACATAACTGCACACCCTTTGTTCTGATTTGGACTTAAATATTCCTTACTATTCTTTTTTACATTATTATTTTGAATGTTTGCGTTATTTGTTGAGTCTAAACTAGCCTGTCTATTAAAACGATTTATTTCGGAGGGATACCCGTCCTTCGTCCAATTTGAGTTCACAATTGAGTTGCGAGATGATGGTATTAGATTATTAAGGTCTACATTTTCTTCGACATCTTCTTGACAAGTATCAGAAATACTCGACATTCGAACTAAATTTGAATTGGTACCACTTTTGGCTGATGACAATATATACTGATTTAGTAAGTAAATTTGAGGCTGTAGAATAATCATAAATGGTCGATATAAACATTCACGTTCGAATGACCACTGCGTTAATTGCTTTAAGGCATTCTCTATACAAATACACGTATCCAAACACTCTGAACGAATGACACCATTGATGATGCGGCCAATAGATGCAGCATCTTGAAGAAGTATTGAAAGTACCAAAGCGTAGTCAATGCAGTTAGCTTCAATGAATAACTGCAGAAGATATCTAATTTTAATGCTAAGTTTTTCTGGTAAGATTCTTGAATGATCAGTGCAATCCAAACAGTCTAAGCCCAATGAAATAGCAGGAACATCATTACGCGGAGAACAAAGACCTCTATAGCCAGAATTGTCTAAAGTAAATTGAGAATTTGAACGTGAGTTCACGAAATCTGTATGAACTGCTGCTTGAGATGATGATGACACATAATTTAATGTTTCACTATGTTTTATGGACGACATTTTTGGCTGTCTGTTGCTATTACTAGTAGGAGTATCCATTAGCGCCAAACTGAAGTAACCCGACTCAGAAGTGTGACTTGATGCACGTTGATAGTTTTGCCGATTATCTAATAAAAACTGTGTTTGAAATTGGTTATAATCATAGTTAGTAGTCAAATGAGCTTCTTCTGAAGTTGTTTGGGAGAAAGGAATCGATAATTTTAGCTGTTCGTGCAAACATATTAAAGTAGTAACGTAATCATCCAATTTTGCTGCATGGTCTGCTTCCTGAAACAACCAAGCAACCAAATGAAAATCAAGATATGCAGACATATAACCCAATTCGATTAATTTATATTGTTGCAGTAATGTTCGTGCATGTCGCTGCAATATCGATTCTATGCAAAAGGTTTCCTTTCTCTCTTTGGTTGAATTGCTACGCTCATTTTTCCGACGCATTACAATTTGCCCAACTGTATTAGAATTAGAGGATAACACACCGGAATCATTACTTATAATGTTTCCGGAAGTTGACGTTACAGACCCGGCCGCTGTTTGTAAATTACCAATTTTTTCTCTTTTTTCTTTTGGCAGGTTGGATATTACCGTTGTTGAAAAACTTCGCTCCCTTCCAATTGGTCCTAATATCATATTAAATACTTCAGGATTTTGGTTAACTTGTGATTGGGCTTGAGATTGTGGTGCGATTTTTAAATTTACAATTAGTGACGATCGAGGTGAATCAATCTCATTTGGATCAATAGCTTTCAAAAATCGAATGAGATCCTTTGCTAATTCCCACTTTCCGTTTTGTAAAGCAATATCAAGAAGCTGCGTAGCATGGTTTTTACTTACATGAGATGGTTCCATATTTTGTAGAATTATTAGGTAACTTGCAGCTGTATCCAGTTCCTCACTCTGCAAACATTGCTGAAAAAGATCTTTAGGTTTTCCAGCTTTAGCAAACAAATAGGGCCAAAGAGCAATTTCTGTTTTACGAGCACATTGAACAATAGTTTGTAAATATACTGGAAATTCTCTAATAAAATCAAGTATACTTGGCAATAGCGCATCTGGTATAGGCTCTTTGCTTGTTGCCTCATCTTCGAGTACTTCATGTAATAAAAGCTCTAACGAATGGGGAAAATATGGCAATGAACGACAAGACTTAGCAATTTCCCACGCACTGTAACCTAAATTCCTCTTAATAAGTTGGCGTAAAATTTTATGTAAGTACACCTGGGATTTCCGTTCTAATAAACAAAACGGCAGCGAGAAATGTGACTGGCTTTCATTCGTATAAAGTGTTGTTTCGTTTTCAATGCCAAGTACAATCACATTATCAAATAATATCACCAAAGGATAAAGTTTAAGTGGGAATGTTAGCATAATTCGTTTTGACATAAACGTATGTAGACGATGCGGACCATCACGAATTTGTTCCGTAGGAGGAGGTAAAATTGGTAGCCAAACACGCATTCCATGTGCTCCAGAGTAAAGCCACAAACAATCACGCATTGGGCTTTTATCATCACCATTTGATAACCAAAAGCATTCCACACATGAAGCTAAACAAGATGCCATCATAGAATTAATTACGTTGGTTCGAAAATCACGCTGTATCATCATTATACGTCCACATACATTTACAATAATGGTTTGAGCCGTATCGTCAGTTTTTCCTACTGAAACTGATTTGGTTACATCACTGTGAAGGTTTGTAACAGTAAGCGAAACGATACAAGCTGGATGCACACACATACCTTTTACATCCAAATCGTAAGCCACTTCAACATTGAGTGTATAAGAGTTAATTTTTTTTAAAGCAAAAAGTGTAATAAAACCGTCTGCTGTTAGAACTATAAGCTGGTCATTAAACATATTTAACGATATAACAGGAGCACGCACTTGGATTTTGTTGCCGAACTGATTATCAAGTTTATACTCTTCTGGATAGCATCGAATTTCATCCGTTCGATCCAAAAGCGAATAACAACCTAAAACTATAAATCCATTCCACCAAATAAGACCGCCAGATACAACGAAATCTTTTTCTTGAGTTTCATTTCCAAATAATTTCCATCGTTTTGTAATCATTGAATAATGTGCGAGGCCAGTTCTTCCAGCAACAGCAATATGCAAGCCTTGTGGATCAATAGCCGAATATCGAATTGGCCAATTTGTCGCAGCGTATGTAAGTGGTAATTGAAGAATACACCAATATTTGCTTTCAGCGAGAATGTTGGAAATATCAATAGATTTCTTTATTTCCATATTTTCAGAATTAGCTTTATTATCAATTTTTTCATGTGAATTATTCGGAAACGTGAATTTTGAACCAAAATAAATTTTTTCCAGATTTCCTCCTTGATTTAAATAAATTGTATCATCACCTAAACAAAAACTTTAGATTAAAAATTATACATTGCTCATATTGTACCTACCTTGCAATAGAATATGTGGTTGTGATGCCATACAAGGGTTCAATGATAATGTACTCTTAACAAAGCTTAATTGGAAGACATTGGTATTTATATCGTCATTTGGTTCTTTATTGGCAGACAATTCATATTTGCAAGTCATAAAAAGCTGGTAACCTTCAGTGGACCATTCGAGCCGATTAATTTGTAATGGATTTTGTCGAACTACGTCTATATTTAACCCAAAATCCCAAGTAAATGATGACATAAGCAACGTTCCAAAAGTGCTCCAAAGTGAAAATCCACCATTTTCCCAGGCCACAACTAATACACAACCATCTGGGCTCCATTTTAGTTCATTGACAGCTCCCAATAAGCCAGGAATTATACTAGATGACAATGACAATTTATGAGAATATTCCAAACCACCATTTAAATCTTCAATGCCATAAACAGCGACATCAGAATTACATCGACCAAAGGCTAGCAGGCGAAATTTATGATTAACGCTACAAACAGTCGCATCTTCCACACCTTGTACCCAAAGACCATGCATGTTTTGTGCTTCAAAGCGCAAATGACTAGCAATAATAAACCCTGCCCGATTGTCATTAAAAACTGCTGGACATCCACCAAGAAAAGGTGAATACTCTAATGTGGACACATAAGAATTCATTCCAATTGCTGGTAAATTTTTTTGATTAAAATTTGAATTTACAAAAAATGGTATATTACGTAGATTAATAGACGATATTGGTTCCTCGATATTACCATCACTGCTCGCATCTAAATCTGACCATTCAATTCTAATAAGATGACAATCTTTGGTTGCAATTAGCATTTCTGACAGGCTAACACAGCATACTGTTGACACTGTTGAACTGAATTTAATATTCCGTAATTCTTTTAGGCTTAAGCGCGGAATATTTTCCTTTATAAATAGTTCTGCCGAGTCTCTTTTAAGGTTTAAAGAAGGAGGATCTGTTTGCGTAAGCACACCATTTTCATTAGCGTCAAAGTCTATCTGGTATAGCAGCAGAACTCCAGCGCTAGTTAATATTGCTAGTTGTCTTGAATCCGGTTTCCATATAATAACCTTATTAACTCCCAAATCAATTACAGACTGTGCACTTCTTCGATAAAATGATATCGGTATCAGTGGATTTGCGTACCATATTCCCAGAAAATCGTCTGCTATAGCAGCTACCAATATTTTAACAGCATCGCAGCATATGTAATTTATCACAGCACTTTCACCAGGCAATGCCAAATTAACTGCTTTTGGCCAACCAACAGGAAAATACATACTGAAACCCAATTAAACAAAAATATTTACTAACACAACAACGAAAATTAACACATCACCACACAAATTGTTTGCTGCTTGATGTTTTGCTAATTTGCACTATCGATACTTTATAATTTTTCTATTTCATTTTAATATCCTTTACATTGAGTACTTTTAAGGTTTTTGTGGCTTTTATATAAATATATTAAATACAATTAGCACAATTTGACAAATGAATGAGGTACACACCATAAGAAACAAGTCTCTCATATTTTTGGAACTTATATTTTGTGGAATGTATGTACAGTGTTGTATTTTTCATAAATAAAAAGAAATGAGCTAAACCCACGAATACACAAAAAGGAAGTTTTAGTACAGAAAAATTGTGAAAAACATCTTTTAAATACTTTTACTTTTATATATATAAACTGGATATAAATATATTAAAATATGAATTATACATTAATTTTTTGTGTCATATATAAAGTCAAGTTAATAAAAGTTCCATCAGCTGCATAGAGGAGATTATTATAATGTAAACGTTCACTTATTAATATAAATAAACAAGTGCCTGCATGAGATAATGTAAATGTTTATCGGGGAGTGTAGCTTGCAGAGTTGTATATAATTTAATTATTATTAAGTTAAATGGGTTTAATTAATATTAATGTATTACTTTTACTCAGCTGTCAATATATTTTTAATACACGGAAAATAATTTAGAAGGATGTTGTATGTTAAAGAAAACAAAAATTTATTTTAGCTTAATGCTAAATAAAAAACGTTTTTAAATTAAATTCTGTTATATCTCATGTTGATACTGTTTTCCATTGAAATGTGTTATTAAACTAAACTTGTTTGTAAATTAGTTGTAATATAAAACTTTTTGAACTTTTATTACATACAAATGAAACTAACTGCTTTTCTATATGCATGCATATAATTTCTATAATGAAAAATAAAATGCATTACATTTTATAATAGTAGTTTAGTGTACGGCCACAGTTACACAGCAAGGGAATTTTGTCTTACGTGCGTGGTTACAGTTGTTTAAAACTATTGTCTCTTCATTTGTGCGAAATCAAAGGTTGAAACAAGTATTCAAATTAACAGGTATTTATTATTTTGACGTAATTTATATTTTATAAATTTCAATTTATTTGAAAACTAAGTTTTTTTTTTAAATTTTGATTTGTTAATTTCACTAGTTATTATTGAAAGGTTAATATAAATAATATTTATGTTAGCTGAATTTTTATTAATTTTCTAATTTTAGTCAAAACAAATATTTTAGTTTTAACTGTAGAAGTCCGAATTTGTTACGAATACGGACCTAAAGATGGTGAAGCCTAAAATAATTTTCAATCTTTATAAGATCTTCTTTGATTTCAGATATCTGTCAAAAGTTATTTATAAATAAAAATTCAAACAAATCTGAAAAGCTTCAGAAATTTGAAAATTGTAAAAAATAAATATTTTACAAATACCAAAATAAATATTTCAATTTTTATCAGTGTGGCTAAAAAACATATATAATATTTTAACTTGTTATTTGCTAGCAATTATATACCTATTCAGGTATGTATATCTGTAACTATAAATAATTTTGCTGTTAAAGGTAATTTCAAAACTTCATACATTGTTACTAATGTAGCAATGCTTTTAATTCGATATTCAATTTAAATTTAAATTAAAATAAAATAAAATTTTTCTTTACATTTAATAAGTTAAAAATATAACAATAGGCGTTTTCGGTGGCTCGCAAGTATAGCAAAAAACAGGAAGTTGCTGGTCTATACTAACTAAAACATATGCAAAACAACAACACTATTTTCTCTATCTAGGCCAGTAATTGTATACTACAATAAGCGAACTATTGTGAACCTTCTTTGGAAATTTCAACGAATATTGCAATCATATGGCAAAAATTATATATAAATAAAAATTATAACAGAATTCAAGTTCCATTAATTTAAAAATTGGAAAAAAAGAAAAATTTCAGCGTTTTATTTTGAAATTTCCAACATTTTCATCATTCCTTTTAATTCTGTATTCATATAAATTTTCAATTTTATATTAATTATTTATTTTTAGACAAAATGTAATTTGTTTGCATTATGTGCACATATGCAAGATTTGCTGTTTCCAAAAATATAACACTTGACAGGTTACAACAGTGAAGCGAATGCTTCGCGTAGAGAATATAAGCCAGCATGCATTTTTGCCACACTTTCGAGCCACCGAAAACGCCTAATTAAATAAATAAAATAGTTGTAATAAAATTGTATTGCTATAACAATACATTGCGATATAACAATGTAATAACATTACATAAATAATGATTAATAATGAATAAATTCGGTTAAATATATTAAATTCATCGAAATTTACGAAAATCATTCTAAATCAAAATATCAACTTAAGGGTTATCTATATCAAAGCGAACGCTTGGGAACGCACGAATTTTTGCAGGTACCAGCAAATATACGTTCATTCTGTTATACTCGTATATCAATATATAATATTTTCAATCTTTAAGTAATTTTTTAAAACAAACCAAACTGACTATCTATATATATGCCGACTTTTTGGAGTGAAAAAATCTACTATAAACTAACCATTAAGCCCGTTAAGCTTTCATGGAACAAATAAAAGACTTAATTTGTTTTCAGTCCCGTCTTCGTTGATGATATTCAACAAAATTGATGCAAGACTTGTAAGCCCTTAAAATTTACCTCATGTGGCATTTTCCATAAATTCTGCTTTTCAAAACCGGTGGCATCACAATAATAACTTGTAGAACGCAAAATGTTACTTTAACTTTGTTTTAAAAGGGCGCATTAATCCAAAAAAATACTAATTTCATCCATTAAAAACATGCATTTGGTGCTTTAAAATTTGAATTTAAGTTTAAGTTTTTTGTTGTAGTTAGAAAAACTGTAAAATATGGAAATAAAGGAGGAAGACAAGCAGAAAATTGCAGGCTATTTGTCAGACATGTTCAAGCAGCACTCGTTGGATCAGATATTATTGGCTTGTGCAGAACAAAATTGGAACGGTAATTCTGACTAGTTTTTTCTTTATTTGCGGTATATAAAATTTCAAATTTTACTCTAGTGGAAAATAGCATTGATTTACTGATAAATATGGACTCCAAAAGTGAAACATATGCGGGGACTGTCAAAAATTTCAGTATGTCTCAGACTGCAACGAAAAATGATCAGTTACAACAAGGCGCTATTCCTAAATACCAACATAATCAAAATGTAAGATCTTGTGGAAGTAAACACAATTATGTTTCTAATGCTAATGTATGCCATACAATCAGCGCATATGAAACCAAAATTCTTAACACTATAAATTCCGGTGTAAAAGTTATGGTGTTGATGCGTGGGGCTCCAGGAAGTGGAAAGTCAACAATCGCAAATGCAATAGTAGAAAGATCTGTACCACTTGAAGGAAATTATAAGTTGGAAGACTTTGTATTTAGCACAGATGATTTCTTTTATGATAACATAGGACAATATAAGTGGGTTCCGAACCGTTTAGAAGATGCACATGTTTTTAACCAGAAACGTGTAGAGCAAAAAGCAGCATTAGGGTGGAGCCCAATTATTGTAGACAATACAAATATAAAGTTGTGGGAAATGTTGCCGTACGTTCAAACCGCAGTTCGTCATGGCTATATACTTGAGATAATTGAATCAAGAACACCATGGTCCAATTCTGCTGGAAAGCTGGCAATGAGAAATGTCCATGGAGTGCCACGCGATACTATTCAATCTATGCTTCTCAAATATGAAAAAGGAACAGTAAATGATTTGTTTAAGGTTTGTTATCCTATTAACAAATTTTATAAGTTTGTGCAAAAATATTTACTTGTATAAATATTATTACTTGTTTTTAACATAAAATACAAATTATTAATTAAAATTTTGTTATTGAATATTAAATATAAAAAAATATAACAATTGTTTGATGATTTTTATATCATTTTAGATGCTGAAAACCACGAAATATTCCATGCCGCCTCCACAAAAGCGTACATTTCCTCCACTTGTAACTGATAAAAAAGAAAACACAGCAATTATTATTGATAAACATACAGTACATGAATCTGATACGAATTCTATCGCTGTAACTTCTTCACAAACTACTCCAAAGCCTCAACGTCAAAATTTAAAAAAATGTGCTATTGACCCTGACAACGCAGAACGTACACAAATTGAAAATGCGCCTGTAAATTTACGGGATACGGTTACCAGTAATGTTTGGAATCCGTACGAAAAAGAAGCGAATAAATTTTGGGGAATTGCTACACAAGATCAATCAGATAAAAGTATACAACATGCAGACATAGCACAAGTCAACGAAGCCATAGTAAGCATTTTGAAATTAGATGAAAAAGATGAAAGCGAAAATAATGAGAGTAATGAAACTGATACCAAAGACACTGAAATCACAACATTCCAAAGACACAGCATTAATTGCCCAAAAGAGGATTTATCGTTCGCATCTTTACGACAAATATATCCAAACAAGCAAGTTTCCAGTTTGTGGGATCTTTTTACCAAATGCAACGGAGATGTTAATTGGGCAGCCGAAATTCTTCTTAGAGAAGACGAACTAAGCAATGATATTAATGGAAGTCCCCCAAGTGAAGCTCAAGTTTCGGATAGTTATGAGTGCGAATGTGTAAGGGGAAAAGTTAACAAAAGCATGCATTCCGATATAGATGCAGATACAATTCTGATACAAAATAATATCAAACCACAGCGCCAAAAAAATAAAATAGTACGTAACCAACTAACCCAATACAACTTACAAGAAGTAAAACAATCCTTAGAAAATTGTGTTGAAATCAAAAATGAATATTATTCAAAAAGTATGCGCAAAGTTCGAGATTTGCGTAATGCATCTCATAGTAACATAAAGTCACATTTGGATATGGGTACACAAACTGATTTGTTATATGATGAGCAGGATGAAGCAGAATCAGAATTACTAGAAGTTTCACTGGGTGACAATTTAGTCGAACAACTTAAAACAATTTTTCGTGACGATTTTACGCTTGGAGAAACTCTACCGGAAACAGTCAAAAACAATGTTTTTATTCCTCGCTCATTGGCCAAAAACATATATATGTTATGGTTGGAGTCAGCTTACAATCATGTCGAAGAGCAACGTTTTGAAGTAATGAAAGAAGATGAAAATTTTGCAGCATTGATCCAAAATCCAAAGTACGAACATGTAAAAGAATCACCAAATAATTTGCGAGAACTACTTGATATGGAAATGGCATGGACAATATATAATACTGAAAGTGAGAAACTTAAAACTGATGTGATTAAAGTAAAACCTCCTGACCTGGCGACTTATCTTACTAAAATCAAACTTTGTGAAACTTTTCCAAACATTCCACGAGAAACTATATTAGATATTTTTGCTTCGCATAATAATGATTATAGTGAAACAGTTGAAGTGCTTTGCAGTACAATGGAGACACAATCCAACCCTCTAACACATGATGAATTATTGAAGCGCGTAATCCATGAGAACGAATTGGTAAACATTAGTGTAATTTTACCTTTCTTACATTACTTGATCCAAACATTTTTGTATAGCTTGCAGAGAAGGCCGAAGTTCAGAAATCGAAGCTTATCGAAGAGCGCGAGGTTGTTGCTTCTGTCAGTGACAATAACAATGTAAATTGTGTTAAATCGAAGACTTCGCAACAGTTAGAAGAAGCTAAGCGATCAGCTTTGCGGGAGTTTGAGGAATGTCGAAATTTAGCCGCTCATCATAGTCAGTTAAAAGCTGAATGTTACCAAAAGGCAAAAGAAGCAGTACAAAATAACAATAAGGGAGTGGCAGTTTACTATTCAGAAATAGCAAATTTACATAAGAAAAAAATTGATATGTTCAATCACATAGCAGCCAATTGCATCATGAATGTGCACAGATACACAGTCAATAATCCTGAATTATTAGATCTTCATTATTTGCATTTGTTGGAGGCGTTAAGCTGTTTAGATATCTTCCTTGATCAGCACATTACATCATTACGTGAACAATCACGTTATTACAAGAACGTTTTTATCATTACAGGTCGTGGTCTCCACAGCACTGGAGGAGTAGCCACAATCAAAAATAAAGTTAAAAGACGTCTAAAGGAGCGCAATTTAAGGTATTGTTTAATGCAATTCAAACCATCAACAAATAATTCTACTGATTTTTCAGGTGGAGTGAGGTAAACCCAGGTTTGCTAAAAGTAAAACTATTTTCTGCTTCTCGTCACTCAAAAAATTATTGATATTTTTAAATATTTCTATAAGATTGTTTTACTTTCATCGAAAACAAGGCTTTCTGACGTAATATGACGGATATTGCACAATTTGAACTATTATTGTGTTTCTAAACAAAAATTTTAATATGTACTTGGTCTACTTTTATTGAATGCAGTTCTATAAGAATATATTTGTGATGTACGTTAAACAACCGAAAACGATGAATTCTGATTGTGGAATTTGTTTTATAAATCGGGTAAAATTGAGCTCAACAGTTTTAAACTTTTTATGTCGTTTTACTCGAAATCATGCATTTTAATAAATCTTTTATAAAAGCAGAGTTTTACAATTATATTTTATTTAAATTCAGACAAGATAATTTTAAAGTGTTTATTTTTGATTTGCAATAAAAACATGCGTTAATGGAATAAATATCTGTAACTCATCGATGAGGAGAAGCATCTATGCGGTTGTGTTGACCTTTCAAATGGTAAACCTCCCTATCCCGCGGAAATAAAGCAAAGTTGATTACATATTGCAAGCCATATAGCAAGTAGTAAATTTATTTAACTTAAACTAGAACAATTACAATATTACTATTACAATAAATATTTCAAACAAGTAAAATATATAACTCTACGTCGAATCGTACACAAAAACGTGTACAATGAATAAGGAAGCATTTAGATATTAGCCAATATAAATAGTGCTCGAATGTGTAGATTCTTTAATAAAACTGCATCCACGGAATTTAAAGTATATATCTACTTATAAGTGGAACCTTGATTATAACTTGGTTCTATTAAATCTGAGCGCCTTGGGCTTTGATGAACGATTGGTGTATTATTTTCTTTACCTAGTTGTTGACCATTGGTAACTGCCACTTCTTGTAGACTTCTACGGCAACGTTCGTTTCGCATATTTGGTTTAACATTATGTTTACGAGTTGGGGTATTAAGAAACACACCTTCATAAATTGTTTCAAGACTGCTGACATCGTTCTCTAATGGGGGTGATATTTGTGCATTGATATCTCTCAATGCAATAAATTCTGGATTGTTATGGCAGGGACTATCACTGAAACTGGTTTCTTTATCCTTGGAAATTGTTTGTTCCATGCTTTTGTCTATAGGTGAAGGACTACTGCCATGTGGCGATAGTAGGCGGATGTCGAACGCTGGTAATTCATCAGAATCCATTTCAGCAATTTCAGCATCAAATGAAAGATTAAACGACACATCACTTTCATTTGACATTGTGGTAATCCTTGATGTAGAAAGTCGTCTAGCACACGCGCCTATATCTTCGATGTTCTCAATAGCTTTACTAACGTCCACTGCCTTTTCTTCGCCCGACATAATTTTTCTTTGAGTGCTTATCCCAATAATAAACCTTCTCAACGCAACAAGTAAAAATTTAATCTAAATTCTAAATATTTTCTCGGTATAAAAACCAATCCACTTAGACGAGACAAAACAAATTCGAATTTTGCTATGAAAATCGTTTGACAATTGATTTAAATAAAAAACCATTTATGCAGGGTTGTATTGCGAATGTGGAATGAAAGCATGTCGGCTTATACATGAGTGCTACTTCTGTATTACCACTTTATTATCAAGTAAAACACTTTTAAATATATGTTGTTAAAATTTGTAAACAAACACAGCTGACATAATTCATGCGTAGCCAATTATTTTCTTACGTTATGTTTTGTTCTGTATCAATTAAATAAAAAAATTTAAATTAAATTTTATATATTAATTTCAAACTATTTTATTTTAATAAATTATCAGACAACAATTTTCAATAATAATAAAACATGAATGATTAAAGTAATAATTTTAATTAGTGTAATTAGTAAAACATTATTTTGAACAAATAAATAAATAACAATGACATATTAAATAAATAAATAAATAATAAATAAATATTAAAGAAGTTTTTATATATTTTATTGCACCGTTTCATATGTTAAAATCGCATTACGAACGACATTTTAATTAAAATGCGTTCCACTTTTGTTTTATACATACATTCCACATTGAACCAGAATGTGAATTAGATAAATTGCTGGTTCAATCCATTATTATTGTTTTGTATGTAAAATTCAGTGGATCACGTTTGCTGGAATGCAGCTAATATACCAAACATGAATGCGACATTCAGGATTGGGACTTCAAACTTTTGAAGCTTTCAACAGTGACCAATTACCTTAAGGTCGCACACAATTATTATTCTGGAGAAATACATATAATTTCATAAATCTTTTTTGGCGGAATTCATTAGTATTTGGAAAGTCTGGTCAGACATTCTTAAGAAGTTTTTATATGGTTTCATATTTTTAAGTTCATTGCTTATGAAACCAAGTGACATAGTTTCTATGTGATCTATTCGTACGCCAAATTTTTCCATGATCTCTTTTTCGTTCGTGTTATAATTGAATTTTTCTAACAAAATTTCTTGTTATTATTTCTGAAGTTTTTAGTTTCAATTTTCTTTTTATGCGCTTCTCGCCGAAATATATACAACAAAATTGACATAAAAATAATCACACTGAAATTTAATAAAATGTTATCAAAATAGTATTAAAATTTTGCTAAGTTGACCGCCTTTTACTTCATATGTACATATATCTGTTTTTCAGAAATACTATAAAAGACATGATTACTTCAGGTAAGCAAGAACGTGATTTTCGGCTAAATTCATAGTAGCACCTATTCGTAATGGGGATTCTTCGTCTGATTTCCAGGCTGTCATCGTTGTTGAACGTTACGGCAGTACCAATGTAGATGAAATGCTTGACGGATTCGAAAGTATAGTCGTCAGTCACCAGCTTGGCGTTCAAACGCCGCACATTTTCACCAGGAGCCGATATGTAATTTATTTTGTCCTGACCGCCTGGTCCATTCTTGAAAATACATATTTGTAAAATAGTCTTCCATCACTATGAACATCTATCCTGCGCAAAATAACTTAGTAATGATACGAGTTAGCCATGCAAGAAAAGATGTAAAAAAGCTAATGTAATTTTATTTAACGAGGGCGATTTGATAAGTTAGTGACTTTTTGAATTTCCCGCGCAGTTACTCCAAATGCCGACAGCTGTAATCCACCAGTGGGCAACTTTCTAAGTTTAAGCAAGCTACGTCGTTCAGTTGGTGTTTGATAACCGTTCAAATAAGGCAACCTCGTGAATTTTTAAGAAAATGGGAAAAAAGTGAATTTCGTGTGCTGATTAAGCATTCGTGGCCAAAATCCACGAATTGGGATACGAACTGCTACCCCATCCAGCATATTCTACAGTTGTTAAACATCTATTGTTGTTAAAATAAATAAATTAAATAAGTAGGATGAAGCCTAATTTTGTTTATGTCGTAAGCCAAAATAAACAACAATAGCGCACCAGAGAAAAGCAACATGCCTGCAGATGGTCGTGTACCAAATGTTTTTTAGAAATGAACAATATCAAGGTGACATTTGCTGAATTGAAATTAAAGCACCAGCATTCAGCAAACGGGACCCAGACCCGAATCATATATGATCACGCAGTTGGCAGCCTTAACAGCATCACATTACGAAATATAGTAGACATCATTCGTGCTCCACCAACAGCATGAAAATACGAAATGATTAAAAAACGACTGATTTTCTCATGCGAAATATGGTATAACGTCTATATACCTTAAGCACATGCCATATCAAGATCATGGTACGTAATGCAACAGCACACCCTTATCGAGGTGAATCTATATTTTATGTTAATTATCTATTGACATTACAGAACATCTGATGTTTGGTACCACTGAGTTCAAAAGGGTTCCACTTGTCTTGATGATGGATGGTTTCAGGGCCATGTGAAGCTAATCGTCTGGGCATTTCAATGTTCTGTTGGTCTCTCTCGCAACACAATCTTCAGAATTGGTGAGGTATAGCCAAGCGGTTAACAATGTTGTTGCTAAAGAACAAATCCAAAAACTTAGAGCGCGTTTCTAGATTCTAGCTGAACCGTCCGGTTCTCAACGGATTCAGGAGCTTATTGGGTTGGCTGCTTTGGTGAGATCTGGTGGTGTCATGAGGTACGACTTTTTATCCATTATGATGAAGGTTTGCACTGATGCCCAAACGGAAGTGGGTTAAATAATTCCTGTGAACATCTCTAACTCACTTATGTGTGCACGTTTTTTTTTTTGTGGTGGTATCGAACCTGTGCAAAAATCTTCTAAAGATACAAATGGCCCGTACCATTTGCATGCCCGATTCATGCACGACTCAATTGAGTCATACATGCCTACGCACTAAAAAGTCCCCAACATTCTCAGCTCAAACTCTTGGAAATCCCTGCAGTACGACGAATTAAGGTATTCCTTCACAAGAAGAGCACTTTGCGTGCTTTCACTCCGATTGTGTACTAAGTATTTTGTCCGCTCTAACAGTGTCCATTGTTTTAGATATTATGCACTTGTAGAGGCTCCATTCTTCAATGCTTGCCAATTTCTGCATTACTATAGTAGGAGGGCTGGCTTCACCAATTATGGTCTCTAGATTTTGTCTAGTATCTACGAATATAACTATATGGTCGGGGCTCTCAATTTTATCTGGACAAAACTGGCAGTACGGGATACTTGCAAGCCTGAACCGGTATAAGTATTAACGAAAGCAGCCATGTCCCGTAAGAAACTGCGTTAATTGAAATCCCAGGTCTCCAGATCCTGGGTTAATCCAAACTTTTATATTTGGAATTAACGAATGCGTCCATCTTGATTTTTGGGAATGCTCCCACCTATGTTGTCATTCATTAAGATATTTGTCTCTTATTTCTAGATAAGTATATGACAGAGATTGCTCAGTTTCATTCATTCGTAGACAAGAACGCAGGAAAAAGCTGTCTCTGGCCAGGAGCGCTTCAACGTCTATTGGCATACGTTCAGTCAATATTCCTGCAGCATCGTCCGATACTGTACGGTAAGCTCGGCAGATGCGTAAGTTTGCCAATCTATGTGCGATTTTTATTACGCGTGAATACGACTTTATGGTTCTAGCATGCGCCCACACAGGAGGAGCATATAGCATCATCGACTTCGAAACGGATGCTAAAAGAACTCTAGCTGTGTCCTTGGGGCCTCCTATGTTTGGCATTAACCGGCATAATGTGTTGCAAACACGTGAGGCTTTGTTTCCCGATTGCTTTAGGTGAGTTTTTAACCTTCTATCTAGGGTAAAACCAAGATATGTAAGTTGGGGGCTAAATTGTATATCTACGCCACCCACTTTAATTGAGAGTTTTTCAATCCTACTGCTGATTACCAGCACCTCAGTTTTATGCTCAGCAAGCTCTAATTCGCTATATTGCAACCACGATTTAGGTGCTACAATAGTAGCGTTGCAAATTCTAGCTACTTCATTTAAAGTTTTTGCAACCACTACTATTGCAATATCATCTGCATACCCAACTACGTTTACTCCGTCCGGATTTTCAATTCGAAGGATACCATCGTACATGATAATCCAAAGAATTGGCATTTTTAACATCTAAGGTCACCACCGCGCAGTATTTTTTGGTACCACCTAGCCACCTTAAGCCCTTAGTAGCTTCCTTTGCAATGTTGCACACATGTAATATAGCATCAACAGTACAACGTTTAGGTCTAAAGCCAAATTGGTTATTTGACAGACCCTGCCTTGCCACCGTGAATTTATTTAATCTAGAGCATATAATTCTTTCAAGGACCTACCTGCAGTGTCCAGTAAGCATAAAGGTCTGTAAGACGATAGCAGTTCTGAGGGCTTATTACCTTTAGGAATAAGCACCAATTTTTGCTTTTTCCAACACGAAGGAAAAATTCCTTCCTGTAGGCAGCTGTTGAATACATCCCTGAATATAGAAGTTTATTTTTGTTTTGCCTTCTTTAATACGGTATTGGGGATTCCATCTATTCCAGACGATTTATTGGGTTTAACTCTGGAAGAAGCGGCTATGACTTTAGAATCTGTAACCGGGGGGATCTCATTTAAATCGGTGATTATCGGTATTAAGATTCTAAGTTCTTCCTTTTTTGGGAACAAGTGTTTAACAATATTCGCCATTATTTTAGGACACGAAGGTGCCGAGCCCCTTAACATCTTAAATTTACATATTACTATTTTGTAGCCATCGCCCCAAACATTTTGGTCTACATCATTGATCAGAGTTTGAAAAGCTTGGTTCTTACTCCTAATAATTGCCTTTTTAAGTTTAGATCTGTGCTCTCGGTATTTTTGTAGAAGCCTTTCCGCATTTACTCTAGATCTGTGGTGTTGGATCTGTGTACGGGAGGCAAAGCATTTAGATCTTCCGTTCACCAATAGTTTGATACGCGCCCATTACTTCTGTCTTTTCTTGGCATTGATGCCTCGCAGATGTTGCACAGTTCTTTCATAAGATGATTTGATTTTTCAGTAGCATCCCCAACTCCGAAACTCATGTTTTCGGTCATGAATTCCCTTACCTCATTGTCGAGATACTTTGTTTTCCAACCTATTTGCTATGCTTTTCTCTGCGATTTTTTTAAAGCAAACTTCTCATTTAACGATATGGGAAAGCAAATGGCATTGTGATCGCTGTGGGTGTATTGGTTTGTTACTTTCCATTGCGAACACCTTACTAATGACGGGCTGACGAAGATAAGGTCTATGTAGGATACGCCCCTACCATTATCGAACGTTGGGCTATGCCCATTGTTTAGTTGTGTTAGGTTTAGTGAGGTGAATGTCTCTAATAGGGTTCTACCTCGGCGCATTGTATTAGTACTGCCTCATTCGACTGCCCAAGCATTGAAATCCCCTGCAACAATGATGGAAGTTTTATTTCTGACTGTTCCTGATAGCCTATTAAGAAGCTCTTCACATCTCTCTTAGGTGATATTTGGGGATATGTAGCAGCTGCACACATATATACCTCGGATTCTACTAGACCTACCCAAATGGCTGCCTTTGCAGAAGTATCTTGTACCCATTTAGAGGTTTCTTCTGATTGGTAAAATTCACTAATTACGAGTACATCCGATTTTAATTCCAAAGCTATTTGGTTTAAGAGGTCTTGAGCAGCCTCACATCGATTTAGGTTTAATTGCAGAAATTTGATCATTTTTTGGACTTAAGGAAGACTTAAGTCTTCCTGTAGGATTCGCATTTGGAACTTCTTGAGTAGTGTAGATCACCACCCTTGCAGTTTTCCGGACATAGGATGCATTTTAGTTGAACTGAGCACTATTTTGCCCTATGACCATCTTCTCCGCATCTCATGCATGTGCTTAATCTATCATTATCGCTTTTACATTGTCTAGCAACATATCCAAATTGAAGGCATTTAAAGCACCTCATGGGTGTGATATGATTTCTGATTCTACTGCGCACCCAGCCCACTCTGGTCGAGGCAGCTGTGATCAGTACACTGGCATCCTTAGTAGGCAGATCGATAATCGCTGTTCGTGTATTGTCCCTTGCGGAACGCCAAAACTTGACGTTGATGTCGCTTACGTTTATTGCTGGAAATTGGTCAGCAATCGGTGCGCACACGTCTTCGTTGGACGTTACCTCGTCCAGATCCGTGCATTCTATTAGGGTGTGTTGTGTTAAGGATTTTACACTAGCGTAATCCTGAAGTGTGTTCTTCATTTCAGTGTATAAGTCCTTAGCTAAAGTTCCAGCTTCTTTGGTAAGCTGAATCAATATATCCCCCTTCGTTGTTTTTCGGATTCTGTTCACATTTTTTCCGAATTCTTGAAGCTCTGGTTTAGATTTAATGAGCTTTAACATTTCAGCGTAAGACTTGTCTGCCGTCTTGCTAATAAGAATAGCTTCCAGTCCCACTCTTGGCACTTTAACGAGGTCCAGTTTTATCATAGTTTTCCTCTTTTCCTTTTCCACTAGTTGCCATTTGTTGCAAGGCGTTCTATGTTCCTTGCTTCCAATTTCTCTAATCTGAACTTTGGGTGGTGGATCGTTCGGTTTCTCATTTGCAGAACGCTTTAGTGCTCTCTGAGTTTGCACGCTAATGGAAGTCACACTCTTACCCGCTTAACTACCTGTGCTAGCAGGTCTCGCATATCCTTATTGATATTTCTTTGAGATTTCATTATTGCAGATAGTTGTAATAGCTTATCTTTTGTTCGTTACGATGTCCGTTTCCTCTTCGGGTCCCACAATTACATTAGAGGAGGGCATGTGAAAATGCTAATGACTAAACTCAGGGAATGACTATAAAGAGGATAGCCTTTCGAGGTCACTGTGGTGCAAAAGATCATATCCCCACTAAACGATTATGCGGATACAACAAGTTAACCTGCATCATTAACCTGTAAGGCTGCAACCGCCAGCCTGTTGCAACGCCTTTATAATGACGAAATTATTATGATCCTGATGCAAGAGCCACGGGTTTATCTTGTATGCGAACTCAGCACAAAAATTATGGCCGAATATATGCGGCCAATAAGGGTAACTCTAGATTTTGCATACTAATCATTAAAAAATATAAGACTTCGCCGTATAGTGAGAATAAAGATCGCAATAAGTATTGATAGCTACTGGGGCCAAATATGGGCAATATCTACATATTTGGTGCACGATCATGATGCACTATCATCAGGTATCCTGGCACAGCTAACAAGCGGCATAAGGAGATTTGGTGTGAAACTTATTATGGGCTACATCGCCAATGAAGTATTAGGCAGCTTTTATACAAATAAAAGTGGTAAGTTATTTTGGATTTTATGTTTAGTAATAATATTTTTACATATAATCATAGCAATAAACCAAGTTTTATTACCGAAAACAAGCAAGAAGGCTTATATATCACCATCGTACTGGCAAACTTTAGAATCTCTCAGAAAATTTCCACTCGACATATCTTTTTAGAGCTTGCTTTCAGTTGCTTCGAAATATGTAGACTGCGCAAAAACTTATCTACGAACCTATCTATCTCTAGGTTACTTTAAAAACTAGATGGAACTAGAATAAATAATAATAGTGAATCACTAGAATAACTACTAAATACTCACTAAATACCACGATTCTCAACTTCAGCAGCTGCATCCTTTAAATGCTTACATTTCTTGCAGGATAACTGTGACAAGTAAAACATACAATTACTCAAATGGACTATTTTCAGTTTCAAGCTCCACAAATCACCAGAATTAGATGACATCATTCATTTGAGCTCCAAAATTCCTGGAAGTAATTAAACAACTAGCTCTTTGTCATGTTTAGATATTGTTTAACTATTAACTATGTTTCAATCCAGTGGACAGAGGCCTACAGCTACCTTTACGGAGGTAGCTCTCCATGACCTTACTCGTACCATTGAAAAATCTATTAAACTAAACGAATTTTGTCTGATTGTTCTTGTAAATACTGAAAAAGTTATTAACAATGTACTTCCAAATGCCATAGCAAACGCACATTTGCGTCTGGGTACTGATAATATTCTCAATAGCTTTATCAGTCAGTTGCTAACTGGCATAATGATTGAAGTAAATATGGGTTTATCAGTGTACTCTCTTCCCTCCTCTAGAATATGGTGGTAAATGAGCTGTAATAAAAACTAAGAATGGCGGGCTGCGAAACTATTTCACATGCGGAAGATATTTCGTTAACGGTTCCCAGAAAATAGGTTACCACTCTAAGGGATATTTTGTGAAATCTTCTTAATGTTCTAAACAAATGGACACAAGTGGCCTTACTGTTAACCCCAACAAAGCTGAAATCGTAGTCTTCACCAGAAAACATTGGGTAGAAAACATTGGTAGATATACTTGTCGCAATTGTGGTGAGGACGATGAAAGTGCTTCCTATCTGCTTTGTTCTAGTCTAACACAGTGCCATCTAGAGCAGTGCCGTCCTATTACTCTAGGGGTATTCTAGGACCTTGGTCAACTGCAAGACCTCCATTTAAATATCATTATAAACGTTGCCAAATGTTAAAGGTGATTTTAAACCTCTGAGTTTTTCCTTATATGGTATCACAATGAACCTTTAAGCCTAGGTCGATGCTTTTGGTTCGCCGGTACAACCTAACCTAGTGACACATACGACTGTCCACAGATAAACGAGACTAAAAATGTTTAACCAAACTACCCCCAAGAAACCTTCTACATAGTCATACTCACTCTTCTTCTCCGCAGCTGGAGTAGCTGAACATTGGGGGAATATTTCATTAAAGGTCGAAAATCATATTTCATCTAAACTTAGAAATTAATATTTCATATTAAATAAAAATATAATATTTTATCTAGAACGTTAAATTTTTGTATTTTAAATTCGCTTATTTATATTATGTTCTGTTTTATGATGCTAATAATATTTAATATTGAAATAAAGTTATAAAACCTATAATAATAATTCTACTTTTCTTGGGGTATAATACTTGATATTCTTTCGGGGTGGTCTAATTTTCTGTTCATGAAAGGGTAACAAAACATTGCAAGTTCATTGGTTGATTTATTTTGTTTACGTTTTAGACTCCGTTTATGTACATAACTTTAAGTATATCATTATCGCTTTTCTAGCAGAGTCCACCAACAATTTCAAGCAGAGTCCACGAACAATTTAAATTTTTTTTCTTGTTAGGTATTACTTGTTAACTGTCACCTATTGTGCAAACATTTACACTTGGCAATGAGTAGAATAATTTTTTTTCGAAGATCACAAAAAGCTTCATAAACTGGAATTTGATGTCTCATAAATTTTTAAATAAAATAAACTATTTAAAATAATGACTCAAGATCATATGATTTACAAAAACCCTCTGAAAAATCAAATGACTCGGGAGACATTTTAAAAAAGGAGTTAGGAACAAATACAACGTACTCATTTTACTCATATATCGCACACCTTTTTCAAAAGAGGTCAATTTTCAGAAAATGTAAAAAATGTTTTGCAGCGTAGTGTCGCTCCTAAAATAAAAGAGATATAACTGTTTTTTTCGATCATTTGCAATAAAAAATACCAAGTGGAATTTTGCGTATTGGTAGACAGGTAAACTATAAACAAGTTCCATACATTAATTCCAAATTAATGAATTTCGAAATGTGCTACTTTTGAAGAAGGTGTACGATATGTTAAAACAGTATCATATATGTATTTCCACGAAATAATAAATTACTGAGCTTTGATGGAAAGTCTCAATAAATAATGAATTGTGAATCGCAATTATCCCCTAAAACAAAAAAAAACATTTCAACAGCTGTGGCAGTGAGGGGAAAAAATAAAAAATATTAGGTCTGTTCCACGAACTACTCGTAGTAACTTCAAGTAACTCTGTGTATATACAAGTGTTTTCCACCAGGAAATTTTCGAGTAAATGAGAGCATCTGAGAGAGTATGGTATCTCTCCCAATCGAAATTTGAAAATGCTACACAGACAGCTGTTTGGTTTCAATTTAAATTTGCGTGACATTGAAATCTTCTGAAATTATACTTAAGATAATTAAGTATAATAAATATAATAATATGTATATATATATTTATAAAACATAATAAATATTTTATTAAATGAACTAAATAGTATAACACAGACAGAGGAAAAGTAATTAATATACGTCGAGATAGTGACCCTGATGATGATTTAGAACTGTTGAATTTATTATTATATAAAGGAAAAACGAAAACGAGTATGCGTAAAAAATGTGTTTACAAGTCATTTTCTTATCTCCGCATGTATACTTCCCCTCATGAGCAACGTACCGCTGCTATACCTCATTAAAAAATCCATCATCTATTAAAAATTGTATTAAAGAATTGCGATTTATAATGTGTAAATACAATTTGTTACCATTTTGCAATTGCAGAAAAGTTGTTGCTGAACATGCCACAACAGTTTTTCTTTCCTCCATGATATCTGTAATAATAACGTGAAATAAAATTTTATGAACTCTAATTCTAACTGAAAACAGAATTCCTACTCACTTTATTAAAATAAAAAGTCTATAAAAATATTTGCACATATAATTATAAAACTTTCGTTGCTTTTCACAATTTATTTTACGCTTTTATTTTTCAACTTCTATTCAACTTCTTTGTTTCTCAAAAAACAGTTGTTCTTATCAGCCTTTACACAAAGTTGTTCTAAGAAAATTTGTGTAAAGAGCACAATCTGGCATTTTAATTGTGTTATATGGTGTTTACACTGACCTACAATGACTGATTTGGGTCAAAAATCACAAATGAGAAGCAAATGACTGAAATCTGCATACAAAATCTCTTTTGCGCAAATGAATTCCACACTCTTGCATTAGATCTAATTTTGTATAAAGGAGTTCCAATGAGTTTCAAATTAGTTCCAAATGCAAATGAATCAAATCAACAGGCACGTTGACAAATCAGCTGTTTAAAAGGAGAACAAATGAATAACAACGAATGTAAACACTTTTAAATGACTGATTTGAAAAGAGTCATTTCGAGCCAGTGTTACGCCATTTTACGCTTTTAATTTTTACTTTACTGAAGTTTTACTACGAGTAGCTCGTGACCTAGTATTTTTTTGTACGAAAAAACGAAAAATATGAACTACGATAAATAAATTTCAATCGTTTCTTTCCTATAAATTTACTTTTGATTTTGAAATGCGATTTAAAAAAAAACCCAGTTCATACTTACTTTTTTTTGCTAGTTAAAAATTAAATAAAAGTCCAAGACAACCAGGTTCTTTATTTAACAATTTAAGGCAAAAAACAACAGGTAGTTTTATTTATAACTTTTATTTAATTTACCGTTAAAATAAATTATTAACTAACTTATATTCTACATATTATTGGATCTAAAAGAGAAACACTGCTTTGCATATTGTTTTTGAATTTAAATCTTATTTTTACCAATTCTCGAAAGGAACATGTTAAGTATATTTATCTCTTTTTCATGTGTTCTTTGTGTCTCATTCAGGAGTATTTTATAAACTTAAACTAACAACACTTTTAACTTCAAACACAAGTTTTTTAATGAGTTTTAAGCTCATAATAAAATTTATACCACCAAATTTTGCAGTTATAATATCTAATAATACTGAATTTTAATAATTTGTGTACAATTTATATTTGACACAATTCATATGTGTTGCATCCCGAATATTGCCTTATTAAAATTAATGCAACTTTTTAAAACTAAAATAACAAACTTTAATATATAATAGTTTTATATGTACATACACGACACTCCAGCGCGATGAATTAAATTGAATGGAAAAGATAGGTATAAGTAATAGTAAAGTATGAAAATTGGTCCTAGTTTGTTGGGATTTTTACAATTTTTATTTACATGCTAAAGCTTCGTATTTTACATAGATAGTAGAGTCAAAGAAGATAAAGAAAACAAACAGAGTTATTCGAAAAATTGTGTCTAAAGTTTTCTGCATTATTCAGATAATATTCAAACTTTTGTCGTTGTCAGTTTTGGTTTTTTGACATTAAAAATCAGTTTCGAGAAAATGTGCCAAAGTTGCAATTAGGTGCACAAATATCATGCTACTAAAAAAAAACGGAAAGGAAATCATGCCTATATTTACTCATTAAAATATACCATGAAATTTCTAATAACTATAATTTATACTGATTCTTCTAATGACTGCATGCTAATATGCAACACAAATGTAGTAAATATTTCGTGTTATAAGCCACACTGATTTTAATATTTGATAATTCTGTTATGGTGAATAAGTAAGAGAGATTTTTTTGCGATATTACACAAAGAGACACAATTATTCAAAATATCCTCTCCGTTTATTTTCTTTATCTTCTTTGTTAAAATGTTTAACGGACCAAACCGTTACAAAATGCTTCGGCTTGTGCACTTATAAACGTAATTATTTGGTTTTAGTTAATGTTGAATAGCGTAAGAGATGGGTCGCTTTGACCAACATTTTTAATGATTGAAATGAAAATATTTATATAAATTATTGTATACAATATTGAATTCGCATTTTAATTACATTTAAAATATACTCGATATATAGATAATTTTATACTAGGCGTTTTCGGTGGCTTGCAAGTATGGCAAGAAACAGAAAGTTGCTGGCCTATACTGGTCGAAACGAGCAGTAGTTATATACTGGCCGAAACGAGCAGTAGTAATATACTGGCCGAAACGAGCAGTAGTTATATACTGGCCGAAACGAGCAGTAGTTATATACTGGCCACACACTTCGGCCAGTTAATTAAAAGTGTTACCAAGGCAATAAGGGAACTATTGTGACTCTTTTTTGGAAATTCCAACAAATATTGCAAGCATATGTCAACAAAAATTCAAACAAAATTCAAAAATTTAAATAAAAATTAGGAAATAAGTAAAATTTCATTGTTTGATATTGAAATTTCCGCCATTTTTATCATTTCTTTTAATTTTGAATTCATTTTAATTTTCAATTTATATTAATTATTTTAATACAAAATATAATTTGCTTGCATAATGTGCACATATGTAAGATAGGATATTTGCCAAAACATAACACTTGACAGATTGCAACAGTGATGCCAATGTCTCATGTAACGAATATAGGCCAGCAAGCACTTTTTGACACACTTTTGAGCTACCGATAACGCCTAATAATAACATTTTTGACAAATGCATTTTATTTACCACCTAAACTATTTCACATATATATTACATAAATAAAAATCATTTGCAACTTGTATATACCTATTAATAAATAATTATTAAGAAAAGTTGTTTTACATTATACATACATAAAGCAATCATATAATTGGAAAATACTTAATAAACGAACACTGGTTGGATCCACATAAACATCTGTTTTCTTTACAGTGTTTTTGTATACTTTTTGGTTTTTCACTAACGTAGATGAAATGTCTATGTATCATTTGAGCAGACCTGAACCAAAACATAAGAGTAATGCCCAATGCACGACTAAACTACAGTAGCTGACTACAAAATGTCCACTACTGGATACGATAAGCTGCAATTCTTAGCTACTGCATTCTATATAATTACTCTACTACAGTGAGATTCGTCACTTACTGTATTGAGCGACTGTAGTCTAAACGTGCTCAACGCATAAACTTCAAAATTTGGTTTTATTTTTTACTCCATTTAAGCCCGCATGCTCACTGGATGCTTTCTACTCTTGTAAGGACTGTTTGCATTATATTTCCAGTTTTCAAAATCGTAGCGAATCGCAACGATTTACAATATTTGTTTTCAATCGTTGCGATTTTCGAGTGTTTGAATGCTTTTAGAATTATATAGTATAAGTTTGTACGTGACTGCTCAGACTAATACGGCATTTACACTGGCCTCAAATGGCTCATTTTGGTCAAAAATCGAAAATGAGACGCAAATGGGTCATTCTTGCATACAAGACTTCAAACGCGAATGAGATCCAATCCATCATATTCTGTATGAATGCGTCCCAACGACGTTCGCATGCGTTCCAAATATGTTCCAAATGCAAAGGAACACAGTGAACATACCCTAAATAAAGGTTCTTCATGGCATTTTGACAGTTTAAGAAAGCTGTTTTTGTGTATTTACAAAATAAGGTAAACAAATGTTTGGTGTTTGCATTTTCTTGAAAACGATGCACCTCTTTTTAGAACTTCGACTTCCCAAAAAGTAATTAATCGAAGTTAAAAATACGTTTTAAGTTTATATTGTAAGGTTTAAAGGCATATTTAACCTTCATGCAACATTTTTTGAACACAGGCCAAAAATGAAATCAACAGGCAAGTCGAAAAATCAGCTGTTTGAAATGGGAACAAATGAACAACGAATGTAAACACTTTCAAGTGGCTCATTCAAAATGAGCCATTTTCGGCCAGTGTAAACGCTATATAAGGCGCTATTTCAAATAAGTAGGAACTTACATTAACAAAATAATATCTGTAATATGTATATGTGTATTAGATGTGCACATAAAGTGCTTTGTGTGATAGTGATATGATATGATTAAAAAAGCAAAAAATAAATGTGACTTATTATATACAGGATTTTACCACATTATTGAATTAAATTAAATATGTACATTTTGTTATTACATATATATTATGTTAGTGTAGTCAATGGTTCCATTTTATCACTTGCATGTTTCATTAATGCGACATTCACCGCCCAGTATGAACAGTCATATTTGAAAAGCGTTGGCGAAGCTCTGTGTTGAAAGCGTCTAATGCAAACAATCCCTTACAAATTAGATGCAAATAAGATAGAGTCTGGTTTATACGGGTGTTATTATTTATATATTAAACCTTGGCAATACTGATTGTTGTGAGGTGTCTTGTTACGTTTCCATACAATGTTTGACATTATTAAACATAATCTACCTTAGACTCTTTGTCAAAAGAGCGATTTTTGTGATTTGTAAATTGGGTGTTCGCGAAAAAATGGAATTAACGCGAGAAATTTTTCGTGTCTATTACGAGTTTCGATGTTGATTATCACCACATTATCACCACCACTATGAAACACTGCCATGGGTATAATGATTTTAATCATGACCGCAGTTCACTGACTGACGAACTGGACGAATTAGTGAAGGTCGTTGTTGTGTCAAAATCAGTTGTTGTGCCAGAAAACAATGATGCGATATACTGTGAGATTGAGGTTGAGGTGAAACCCTGAGCATTAGTTCCACCAGCATACATAAAATATTGTACGATCATTTAACCTTGAGAAAAGTTTCTTTTCGTAGGATTCCCTCATCATTTGGCAAAATTTCAAAAATTTTTCTTGTGTCGATTGGTGCACTCAAATTCTTAAGAAGTACGATGGTGGTGCTTCAAAAGACCATCATTGTGTATAAGATTGTAACAGATGTTGAATCATGGATATATGCGTATGAGCCGGAACGTAAACAACAGTCAACTGTATGAGTGTTTCAAGATGAACCAAATGGTCGCTTGTTTTTTCGGGAAAACTGGTCATGTGTCAACTATACGAATACCATTACAAAAATGTAAAACGGTCAATTCCGAATGGTATACAACCAGA